ACAATCCTTGCGCATTTTCTAAAAATACCACAAAAAGTCTGGCTCCACCCTCATGTGGTTTTGGGTCCAAAACGTCTGATCATAGACCACTTAAAGCTGCAGCTAACGTAACTTCATCATATGAGATGAAATGCTGATATTGAATCCAAAATTGATTAAAGTGATTATTTAGCCGCCTAATCCTGCATGAGGACTTCTGTAAAGTGGCACTGTTGTAATATATGTAGGAAGTGATTTAGTATTGTTTGGTGTTATAAGGGCAGCCAGACAAAGGCGGGGCTTTTGCTTCCTTCAGAGGAGAAGGAGAAGGCTCAGAGGAACCTTTGGAGCCATGTGTGTTTCCCAAAACTGATTTCAGTTTGCAGGATAACAGAACAATGTTCTGCTTTCTCCAATTGAATTAGCTCCAGAGCAAAGGGTAGCATTCTTGATTATGTTTGCTGGAGAAATGTCCTGCATTTTTGCCACAGTGAGTGTTTGCAGAGAGCCGTTTTCTTTATCTTCCAGAGCTAATGCTGTAAATTCCTTAATAGAACCATTTTTTTAAATGATGTGCCCCCTGAAAACCTAAGGAACTTGATGTCATAGGTGAATGTTCCTCCATGTTACATCCATGACAACAGAGTTGTCTCTAGAGTCTCAGAATCATTTGATGGGGTCCTCTCAGTTTTTACATTGAGGAACATCCATCCATTACCATTCCTGGTAGTGTCGCGGTTGGACTGGAGCCTAACCCCTCTGAGAGTGTTCAATTTCCCTAACATGCAAGGTCTCCAGTCCTCCAGAATTTTTTTCATGCAGATTGAGGGAAGCTTTTTTTTTAAAGGCCACCAATGCTTGCCAGAACTTCTTTGAAGCCAAACTAAAATCCATCTCTTTGGTAATGTTAAGAGTTAAGGCAACTGGTCCTCTTTCATTCTAAATATGTTTTAACTCCGGAAGGCCGCAACTCTTGGAATTCACATGGAGGTCCTGAACAAGGTGTGTTCAGATTCCATTTCCCCATCCTTCCCTGGGATAGGAGAGAAGTTCTCCTGGAGGAGTGATAGAGTGACACGGTTCCACAATGAATCAACCCAGAAAATGCATTTAATTCATTTATCTGAAAGCATGCAGGTCAGGACAATGAAATTAACCCGCCTTCTTTCATTCACTCTCCCCCATCTTCCCACTTCACTCTCTTTTATACTCTCACCACCGTCTCTGCACTCCTTTTTTCTGATTCTCTCCACCTCTGATGGCAGAATTAGCTCTCTCCTCAATGAAACCATCAAATCATTGCAAATAACATGCTATTCAAATAAACTAGGAGGCCAAGTAGGACATCATTAAAAAAAAAAAGAAAAGGAAAAAATACAAACAGCCATCTGAGCAGAGCATATTGTATATGTAATGTGTCCAAATTATCATGAATTATTTCTGGATCATTATACATAACCAATCCTGTAAGATGCTCACATGTGATCATTACAAAGCCAATTATCACAATTTCAAAGATAATTCTGCATGTCAGGCAAAAGGGACTTCATAATATCACAGTTGAAATCAACTTCACTCAGGATACTGTATGACACTTGCTATATAAACAATTACACTCATAGTTATCTGAAGAAACAGATTTATAATCAAGATTTCCGTGTTAAACTTGCCTTTAAATTGGTGTTTTAAATTTACTGATACTGAGATGAAACTGGGAGAAGACTTTGCTGAAACATATTAACAGTATTGTTAGAAAGATATAGTTGATATTTTGTGCAAAATGATACGTTAAAAAATTAGTTAGAAATGAAAGTGGATAAAAAGGAAAGATATATATCTATATTTATCACCTGCCTCATGATCTATGATCAATTTTCCTTCCTCCTGTGCAACATGCGGCTTCAAACTCATTTTAAAGGCTGCATATTTCCTTTTGCATTCCAACCACAAATAAATCTGTCTCCATGAGGTATAAGGAAACATGGATCATTAGACGATTTCATCTTCTTGCATCACTCCATGGTCCAATTCTTAACAAGACCTTGGGAGGTCTATCGTGTGGTGTGTATCGTCAATGGTAACCAAATCCTCCTTTACTGGTTTAACTTCACATGCTGTTATTTTTTAAAATCTTTTTTACCTCTGAAATGTAACATGCAATATAGCGTAAACTCCATTCAGGGACATAAAAAGCAATACAAACAAACCTAGAATTTTGTTCGGAAACTACAAAATAAGGGAGTTTCTCAAAACCAAACCTGACATTATATATTATGTTCGTAGCATGTGATTAGATCCATGAATTCAGATGGATTCTATTTATATAGTCTGTGTGGGCAGGAATGCCATGACAGCGTATGTAATAACGAATGCAGTGCTGTAGGAGCTGCTCAAAGTCAAGGAAGAATCTTTAATGCATTAACATTTTCAAGATGCTACATAATCAAATATTGTTGAAGGCCTGTTTTAATATCAAGGATCATTTGAGAGAAATATCAATGAACTTCTTGAGTAGAATTTCACAATTAGGATATAGACGTAGATATAATTTACGATGTACAATTCTCATAGCTTTATCTATTTTTTCAATAGACTTGTTGGCATGATAATGACAGCCATCAAAGAAGAATATAACATATATTTTGTCCTCCGATGGCTGCTAACCAGAAAACAGCTAAACAGTCATCCAATAACCAAATAACATCTAGCCATTTTGTAAGTCAAGGTTGGTCAGTGCAAAGAAGGAAGGAATTTTTTTTTTTTTAAAGGTGAAAAGGTAAAAAGGTGAACATTTCCTTCCTGCCTGGCTTGCTCTTGTATGCACCAGTAAGCACCAGTATACATACTGGTGTGGTAATCAACCATAAAGCCTCTGCAGACACCTTTATCAAAATATGAAGACCGCCACATAAATGCGACAGTGCTGAGCTAACACAACCCCCCTTTGTGATGGAGAGGCTCTAGCCTCACCACAAACATAATGATTTGCTGTTTCATTACATCATTTTTCTGGCTGATCAATGCAGGTAACAAGACACAAATAAAGGCAGTGATGGTGCTGCCACTAAAAGATACATTAGATTGATTGAAAACACTATTAGCTGTTAGATGAATATAAAACTCACATCAAGCCAAACTGTTATGTCGTGAATAGGAACAACACGACGAGGAGGGCTTTCAAACAGCATGCCAAGTCATATGTCAAAGTATGTAAGAGCTTGACCAAACTGATCATAACTTTGAAATGTTTAATAAATCACTGTTATTACATTAGCACTCTTTTTATGGATTCATTGGGAGCTTATATTAATCAAACTGTAGCATTAACCTCTCAGATTACTGAGAGGTAAAGCTGTGCTTACTGAACACAATGAAAAAATTATGCCCACACATAATGTACCCCAGGAAATACACACATTTACCAATTCTGTAAATATTAAGGCGTGATCAGATAATCCATATGCCAAGATGGCTTGAAAGAGGGAGAGAGAAATGTGACGATGAAGCAGAGAGGGCTCTGAACAAGCATATAAACCAGATCTTAAAGTCACTTGAGTTTTAATTTCCTGCCTGTGGTAACCAGAACAATTTTGAGATTGAAACACAAGTTTTAATGAGTCACTTTTATAAATGAGTTCAAGCTGTTAACATCTATAAAATCATCCCTCAGCCTCCCTTGCTTCCTGCACCTCTACCAATCTTATTGGATAGGAACATATTAATGCACATATGTGAACACATAACATCACATTTATGAAAGAACTTAATGCATATTCCCAACTTACTGCAGGCACACACATCCGAGCACACAACCACGATGTAATGGCTCTAATGAGACTGCGTGACTAATACCTCTTCAGTCTCTTCTCCAGATGAGTGCTTATTATGGTCTGTCAAGGAGATGAGTCAGTATATGTCACAGTTACTATGGTGATCAAAGCCTCCAGCACTTCCCTTAAGTGCCCGCCAGCTAAAATAAGCTCTTTAACCCCTTTAAGTACAGACCCATCACAGCACATTGACACCCACACACAAACATGGCAAGAGGCAATCTGACTCTCTGACCTGTCCCAAAAGACAAGTGAAAAGAAAATTCCCCTTCAAAGCTAGTTAGAAAACTGCTTTGTGTGCTTGTCAGTGAATTTACCGAAAAAGTACACAAAAAACATGCTAAAAAGAAGGATAAACTACAAGATGGCAAAGACGTTACCATCCTATTTGAACAAATGAAAAAAGGGTCATTTTGCCTGATCATTCATGCTTCTTTTTGTTCATCACACAAAGAATCCAGACCCTTGACTGGCAATATTTTAGGCGGCATCATTGACACGTTTTGTGTTGCAGTGCTTTTGCCCATTGAAGTTTATGGCAATTATATTAAACTCTGCTCTCCTGAAGTCCTATCGTATCATTTAAATCAAATGGACACCTGTAATTTGACTGCAATACTGTAACACCATGACATTTATCTTTTTTAGTCATTGTGTTGAACATTTGCCGCCCTGTTTGGGATTATTATCTTGATAAATTACCCACTTTTCGAAAGAGTTTGGGTTCCAGACAAATTACTCAAACTTGACATTGGAAATATGTTTGTGAACATAGTGTTCTGTGGCTGCAGCGAAAATAAAACAAAGCACCAAATCACCAAATGTCCATGCTGGTTATAGGCAGTTTCAAAGAGGTCTTAATGCTATAATGATGTTTTTGTTTTGTTAAATTTGCCACTGGGCATTGTGTCCACTTCCTCCTGCTTTGTCTCCAGCTTTTCCAAATTAAACTAGCTGTGGACCAGTAAGTACAAAAAATTCAGCCGCATCTTTCTGTTTCTGAAACTCTTTATTAACGCTGAAATTTATGTGGAGCCATAATAACAATTTCTTTCACAGCTTGTGGAATAAGTCATTTGTTAGTGTTTAAGGTTTAGTTTTTCAAACACCTTCTCTTTACGGGTCTAATGCGCATGCTCAACGCCGGGTCATGTGACAAGAAGCAAACCGAAACAAAAAAAAAAAGGAAGCGGAGACAAAGAACAAATGAGAGCAAGAGAGTAAATATCACCAATTTCCTTGTATGCTTAGTTTTCGTTGGGTCGTTCTATTGAATTACAAAAGTTTACATTGGTAGGTTATGGAGAAAACTAACGTATTATGCATTTAAAAGGCATGGTCAAGGCCTAGTCTTTTGGAAATCTTGCCGTACTTTTCGTATACCACTAATTTGAGTTCGTATGCAAGATTTGTTGCTATCCATTTCGCAGTGGGACTGCTTGAATGTGCGCATGCGTACTGGCTGTGTTGTGGTGACTTATCTTGACAGAGTTAGTTAGAACCTGTTGCAAAGTTTCAGTTTGCACAACCAGCTGCTGGAGGGCAGGATAGCTGTGGGGTCACAGCTCAATAACATAGAACCCGCTTAAAGTTACCCCCCATTTGCGTGGTTTCTTTGTTTTGGGTTTGGCCGGGCCGGGATAGCAGTGAGTGAGGATGAAGTTCGGCGGTATTTTACTGTGCGTGTTCCTGCTTTGGGTCGACGGGGGTTTGGGGGACACTCCAGCCAACTGCACCTATGAGGACCTGCTCGGGACCTGGGTCTTCCAGGTGTCCAAGGGTGGACATGATAAGACCGTCAACTGCTCTGCTGAAGGTAAATCGCACATGGCCTGGCCTCACAAAGGACTGATCACATAAGAGGAAATAACTGCAATCAATTTGAGATCACGTGACACATTTAGGCCTGCTTTTGATAAAGACATAGTCATTTAAACTCAGCACTGTCACAATACATTAACAAATGTTAGCTTTTTTGTTTAATAATTTGTTCCCCCCTGAACACTACCGTCATTTTATTGGGGTCTTTTGACAGTCAGATTTCATTTGGTTTTGGACTGATGTATTATCAATAATCTATAGTGTAGTGGAGCAAATTCTTGCCATTCACCAAAGGTTTGGGGGTTTCTCCTCAGCGACAGGTGAGCGCTCTGTGACTGTGACCCTGGAGAAACTGTCTGTAGCCACAGACGAGCTGGGAAACACAGGTTTCTTCACCCTCATCTACAATCAGGGCTTCGAGGTGGTCATCGGTGGGTACAAATGGTTTGCCTTCTTCAAGGTGAGTGTAAAAATGATCTTTACGAAGTAATTTTGACCAGTTTTGATAAATGACCTGTTCTGAGCAAGAGATGAAGGTTTGAGCTATGTGGGTTGTGTATTTCAAAGCACTTTGTGGTTTCGCTATTTCTCATTTCCTCTCAGTCTATCTGGTGTGGTGATCAAGAATATGCCCCATTCTGAAGCAGCTGTGTAAATGTTAATCCCATGGTCATGTGCTATTTCTCACATGATTCTTGGTTGAAGGAAGTGAGGAAGATGTTCTGTTTTTTGACGCATGTTATTTGTCTATCCGTGTCTGATTCAACTTCCTCATTCTCTGATTCATATGAACAGTGTGATTTGAGTCATTCTGCAGTTCAGACTGCTACAGACTCATAATTCCTGAGCATGTGACTGAATGGCACCTGAATAGTGTAAATACATGGGAAAAATAACTTATTGTCTCTCAAAACTTTCAGTACTCCGAGGATGGACCTAAGGTGACCAGTTACTGTGACCAGACCCTTCCAGGTTGGGTCCATGACGTCCTGGGAAACAACTGGGGCTGTTTTGTTGGAAAGAAGGTGCAGTCAGTACAACCCAGACTTGATTACAAGCCACTCTTCAACAGCAGGTACATCAAGTATTGATAGATTAGCACACATCTCAAAATTGCAAGGAACATAAGCTCTCATTCACATTACACCTGTGGAAAACTGCCCGACTGTTGTGACATTTCATCTTTAACCTACGTTTTCGCTCCATTATTCTGCCACCTCAGGCCTCTGCAAGATGAGTTTGCATCTCCTAAACCTGATATGAAAGCACAGTCATGTATAACTGGAAAATGTAGAGGTCCCCTCTAAAAAATGAACTGCACATGAAATTACCAGAGAGTCAAAATTGTTATTTAGCTAACACAGAAGCCAGACCTAAATGTAGGGAGGAATTGATTTAGTACAATAGCAGCAAACTCTTCCCACCCTCTTTTAACCAAAATCAGACAAGGTCCAAGATAAGGTGAGCATGATTTCTGCAACATCAATTTTATCTAAAAAAAATGTTGAAATACTCAATGGTTGAATTCAAAAGCGTCAAACTTAGTTTTTGTCATGGTTTTCTCAGTCCCCCGAAATAAATCTTATCTTTGATCTGTGGAGACATGTGCGTAATAGCTGTGAACTTCGTAGAACTGAATGCATTTTGCAGAAAAGCCGAAATTCCCCCTTAACATAAACAGAAACGCTCAGTATGAGAGCTACAGATTCCTGTGAGAGCAGAGCTTTACAAATCGAACTTACGATTCTCTTTTTTTTTCACACTGCAGAATTGAACTAAATTGAGATCAAGCAAGTGCGTTTGAACCTCCCACACACAACAAAGCTAGTGGCTGACTGTGTTGTGAGTTTAATCATCTGGAGTGAACTGTTTCTTTTACTTTTTCTCAGTGTCTGAAAATGAGTTGGATCAGCCTTGCAAATAAAAAACAACATTTTCAAAGAATTTCTTAATATGGTTGATTGTTTTTGTTTGTATTTTGAATGATCAACTTGTATGCTTGTGGCTTGCATGTTAATGATCATAAAGTATGAATTCGTACACGACTGCTATCTGCTGTTAACTTTAGCTTTTTTTTTGCTCGAGGACCAGACCAATCTCTTGTTTAAAACTGACTTCATCTGTTGTACTTTTTCCACCTCCAGACTCCTCCAGAAGTCATATAAACACAACCTGGACTTCATTGATTTAATCAACTCCGTTCAGAGATCCTGGAAGGCTGCGCGATATCCAGAACATGAGATGTACACTTTACAGGAGCTGCACTACAGAGCTGGAGGTTCTGCCTCTCGTGTGCCTGTGTGAGCATACCCTCTCATTTCTTATTTTAACTCAATTAAAACACAAAGTGTAATATGACTTTGTGTTTTAATTTTCAAAGCTTGCAAACAGAAATGTTTAGTAGAAAAGGTCCATCAAACATGCTTTTTTACTCTCTCCTTTAGACGTGCCCGCCCCATGCCCGTGAAAGCTGATTTAGCCAAGATGGCCGCAGCTCTGCCCGAGCGTTGGGACTGGAGAAATGTTAATGGTGTAAACTTTCTCAGCCCTGTGAGAAACCAAGGTAACTTTTACTTATTTTCCTGTGAAAATATATTTTCAGTTTCTCTGCTTTTGTGTAAATGTCAACTTCAATGGAAAATTTATTTTTCCCGCAGGCTTAGTTCATTATGAATTTATTCCAAAATATGTTTGGCAAAGAACTGAGATCACTGAAACCTGTAACCTCTATATTTTGACCAGGTGTCTGTAAGATTGACACTGAACCACAGCCACTTTGCCCCCCTCCCTCCTGGCATGTCTGGGTCGGCTTTCTGCTCTTGTTTCTGTACGGCCGGGAGTGACTGGAGCGATTATGTGTGCTGAGTACTTTGAGTGTCTGAGAGGGCCTCTGTGTTGTGGGGTTTAAGGATTTGGAGAGAGACCATTTTTTTCAGGAGAAGCCCTCTCAGTGGCTATGTAGGGTTGTGTAGTTTATTTCACTTTCAAGTTATGAGGTAAGTACATTCTTAAATTCCTCCGCTGTTTACAAAATTGGACAGATGAGGATACATTAGTATGACTGGCTCTAGAGTGGCTGCTGTGCATGGAGTGGCACACAGAACAATAGCTCCTACTTATAGCGTATTAGACATTTTGATAGCGCTTGTAAGGTCCCCTGTTGAAAGCGCATTAGCATTTTTTTTTTGTTGTAGTTAAAAAGCAGATGTTTTCAGCACTTCAACAGATCTTCCTCCTGAGGTTACCGAGCCAGCTATCCAGTAATAACTAATTTACGGAGAGAGAGTGATTTTTTTTCACAGGACACATTGTAGTGTTTTGATGAATATATAGAGATACAGGATTATGCTTGCCTCATTGAAAATGAGTTCTCTCTCTTAAATGCTTTGTTATCTTTAGATTTACTCTTGGTGACAGATTAAAGAGACAACAGAATTTGATTAGGGGATTAACTTGACTTCCATGATCTTTCTTGTGGATACTTGATGGAAAAAGTTCTATTTTTTTATTCATCGCCCTCTCCGTTATGGTGCAGTGATGGGCAGTGTTGACTTGTATGTTCAGAGTTAGGTTTAACTGGCAGATTGGCAAATAAAAATGTATTGCGGCCCAGTGAGAGAGCTGTGGGTAAACCATGGCATTTGTTCTCAATGTTAACCTCAATCTTAAATTTAAATGAAAGCCAACTAAAGCCAAATCTGTTTTAAACTGTATTAAAAATCTTCTCTCTATCTCATTTTGAATCATCTCTCCAATTAAACCATCCTGCTCATCCCTGCAGCCGCTGCTCCCTGACCTAATTTATTCCTGCATTTTATTAAGAAGCTGATGGCTGACACTGTGTATGCCAACCACTTTCTTTAATCTGTCTCTGTTCCTCACTCCATTGTTATGCATAAGTGTAGTGGATACTGAGGCAGCAGAATTACAGAAACATTAAATCCTGAGCAGTGCAATGAATTCTTAAACAAAGGGCACATAGTTTCCTGGCTATTAGGATTCTGTTTCAGGGGTGTTGCGTCAGGTGGTGCAGGTATACTTACGGTGTTCAGGCACATTTTCTGTGTAACATCGGAGGTATTTATAGGCATTAGAATACAAAGTTTGAAGTACATCTCTTTCATGTGTTATGTGGATAGCTATAGTACCGCTGTTTCCATTTAAATCTGATATTTTGTCTCAGCATCGTGTGGCAGCTGCTACTCCTTTGCCACCATGGGAATGCTGGAAGCTCGAGTTCGAATCCTCACCAACAACAGCGAGACTCCGGTCCTCAGCCCTCAACAAGTGGTCTCCTGCTCTGAATACTCTCAAGGTAACTGCTTGCCTAAATGCACTTTTTTCCCCTCATCACCTTACTTTATTCTGTGACTGTTGAACTGTTACAAATAGGAAAAATGTTGAGAGTCAAATTATTCAATACCATTCAATGTTTTTAATAAGAAAATCTGGAATCAGAGAGTGTTCGGGGTTGGCTGTAGGTGTTTTTTTTATATTAGAGTGCATTTCAGGAGTGCTCCGTTTGGTGCAAATCATTTTGAAGAGACTTCAGAAAGTTTCATTGTAAAGTTTTATTTTGTTCCACATTTTAGAATTATTACTTTCAACAAAATCTGTCAAACATAGATTTAAAAAAGACTAGATCCCACTTTCTTTCTGTGGAGACAACCTCTCTTTGCTTTTCTTTTATGTTCAAGGTTGTGATGGAGGGTTCCCTTACCTGATCGGGAAGTATGTGCAGGACTTCGGCATTGTGGATGAGTCATGCTATCCGTACACTGCACGGAACTCTCCCTGTGGAGTTCCTGATAACTGCGGCAGGATGTACACGGCTGAGTATGGCTACGTCGGCGGGTTTTACGGTGGTTGCAGTGAAGCAGCCATGATGCTGGAACTGGTCAAGAATGGGCCGATGGCTGTGGCCCTGGAGGTACGACACCTGCTCGGTACATATTTGTGTTGTAGAGAACAATTGAGAAGTTTAATTTGTTTGTGTGCATGTTACACACTCTGAAGTAAATCACCTTAAGTATAATACTAAGACTCAAAGAATATTGGGACCTGAAATTTTTGGAATACACACCCTAAATCAAGAGAGTATTTAAATATTTATTCTTTAATTCACCAATACATAGTTTAGGTTTGCACAAATTGTCCAATTAGTTTCTGTTAAGGTTTTTAAAAAAATAAAATAATCCATGCTCTCACACAGGTCTATCCTGACTTCATGCACTACAAGGAGGGGATCTACCACCACACTGGCCTTGCTGACCCCATCAATCCCTTTGAGCTGACTAACCATGCCGTGCTGTTAGTGGGCTACGGCCGCTGCCACATGACCGGGCAGAAGTACTGGATCGTCAAGAACAGCTGGGGTAACACCTGGGGCGAGAGCGGCTTCTTCAGAATTCGCCGCGGAAGTGATGAGTGCGCCATAGAAAGCATTGCTGTCACGGCCAATCCCATCCCCAAACTGTAGAAACCGGAAACTTATAACTGTAGAAAATGGGCACTATGAAGATTGTGAATCAAATTTAGATCTGTAAACCCATTTAGCTAAGTTGTTTTTCCGTGCTCAGGAGTTAAAATCCATTTCCTTAACACAAAGCTTTCATGATTTAAGCTTTAATGCAAATATTACTCAACCCAAAATATGGATCAGAATTTCTTCTAGGTTTGCGTTTTTACCATTTTTAAAGCCTCAAAGAAAGCATTTCAGTATTGTCAATCAAATGTCTTCCATTTGTTCCTGAATGTGGCGCTAAAAAAAAAGAAAAAAGGGATTATTTTTCAAAAAGTGTCTCCGCCAACCACCAGTTTACAAAACCTCTTCTGTGGAAAAAAGGTAGATGACATGGCTTTTAATGTTTATAATTTATCCTGTCAGTGTTTTTTTTTATTGCCAAACTGAGAAATCACCAATTAGCTGCGTATTGATTTTTTTGCTTTAACTGCCAATACAAAGTTGGAGTTGAAGTGAAATGGTACAAAGTGACAGGTTGCAAATTCTACTTGGAGCAGTATAAAGGGAACTGAGGTGTCTGTGTGTGTTTGATTGTTGGCTTAAAGGCCTTTGATCTTTTACTGTCTCAGGGAAGCACAACAGAGAGGCTGTTTTCTTCTTTTGTCCTTGCATCAAATTGACACCACGTCTGCCATGTTTCTCAGGAGTGTTCCCTGAGGATCACTTAAAAGGGAATTCTTGCTGAATAAAGGGATGCAACACGTTCTGGCAACATCTATTGTTTTTTTTGTTTGTTTGTTTGAATCAGGCTTTTCCAACAAAAAAGCAGCAAAAATTTGAAATGCATCTTTGGATTTCCTGCAGTACCTATAGTTTTCATCACAGCTGAAGCAGAAGCATCGCCGTTGTATTGTGCAACAAAGGAAGGTATATTCTTAATGCAGATAAAATAATTAAAGTTATAATGACCCTGAATTAATGGGTTGGAAAGTAAAAGCTGTTTCTCTTAATTTGTACAACCCACACCTCTATGAAAGACTCCCCATTTATGTGCAATTACAACTCCTGATCTTATTCAACTAGCTATGGCCACTGGAGTGATGGTATGCTCTCCCCCTGTACATCCAGGTACTCTAAATTCACCCTAGGAGTGAGTGTGAGCATGAATAGTTTTTGTCTCTCTGTCTCTGAGTTGTTCCGGCTGCCCTGGCCCTTCCACTTCTACAGCAGGTAATGGTTCTCAAGTATGTTCTGTAATATGCTTGAATTTCTTAAATGCACTCCTTTCGGTTTTCATCTCCTTGATACAATGTCTACTTTTATATGAAACTATCTCTATGGATTGGAAGGTTCAAGTGTACAGTCACTCAAACACAGAGCAACCAAATCACATTTGTCCTCCTCATGATAACATTGTAAGTATTATGGTGGTTTACAAATCCAATATTGCTTTAAAGTACTGACAGTTTCATGTATATGTAGAAATACATATTTGTATGACACAGTTTTAGCCTGCTCTTCTTTGGGACTTCATTACTGGATTGTTTGGAAGGTTACTCTATCTTTATTAAAATGCTTCCTTTATGCTGTGGGCCTTTCCCTAAAAACATTTCTACCTTGTCTACAGGGTGGATGTAGTTGAGCTCACATTTTTGTGACTTCAAAAGAAACTAAAAGAAGTCATCTCAATGAAAAGTATTGAAAAAAATGTCTATTCCATAGCATTTTATATAAAGAACTATTTCTGTGCATTTAAGACTTATTCTAAAAAAAATCTTAATTCAATTCAATTTTCAATTCAATTTTATTTATATAGCGCCACATCACAACAACAGTTGTCTCACAGCGCTTTCCAAACAGAGCAGGTCAGACCCTACTCTGAAGTTAACTACAGAAACCCAACAATTCTAAGGTTAATGGTGTGCGCAACAATTGATCAATTCACTGCATAACCAAAGACAAAGCCATTCAAATGACAGGTTTTACAAAAATTTATATAACATAACCTTTTTGATATGGCATATCTGTAGTTGGTTTAACTGATTAGTTACAAACTCATATTGTAACACTCATTAAAAAGGAACTGTATGGATGCATTTTTATTAAAGAGGGTCGCATTTTCTGTAAATGTGTTTTCAAATGGGGTTATGAACTTGAGGTCTATTTTCAGAACTTTGGAATTGCTAGTTGTGCTAAGAGTATTCAACTTTCATTCTTCTTCCATCGCTGCTGACAAAAAAGAGTTACTTAATTCCCTCCTGGAGGATTTGCATAAGCACTGGTTTCCACATTGCCTATTCATCCACTACACCCCGTCCTTCTCTGCCAGTGGCCCTGCTGTAGTCACAAGGTGCACACGTCGGTTCTCCACGTCCCTCTGTGGGCCTGGACGTTGCTACCTAACTTCCTTCTTCCCATTCTCAGCTCTCCACTTTCCACAGCCCCGTCCCGCGACTTTACCCCGTTCATTCCCCAAGTCCTGGACGCAACGGTGGATTCATGCTCAGCTCTCGCCCTCCTCGGTCGCCATGCAGAACAATCACCACAAGGAGCACCTCTACAAGATTCTTGTGATAGGGGACCTCGGGGTTGGTAAAACCAGCATCATCAAGCGGTACGTCCATCACAACTTCAGCCCCAACTACCGAGCCACCATCGGGGTGGACTTCGCTCTCAAAGTGCTGAACTGGGACCAGGAGACGGTGCGCCTCCAGCTGTGGGACATCGCAGGTACGCTCCGGGTTTTACGCACAGATCACACAGACACGCAGAGGGGGGGCCAGACCGCGCAATTACTTCGAATTCTGAAAGTTTTTAAAGTTTATTTGACAGTGTCTTTGTACAAATAAATAGGCCATGCAGGAGGGACGCTGTTAAGAGGAAGTTTATTTTATCCACTTGGATAAAAAAACAAACTAAACACATTTTCTACGCATCGAATCTTTGGCAGTCTGCGTAAAAGTGTTTCCTTCGGTAAAATGACCAGAAGTTTACATTAGAAAGGTTAAATGATGTGCCCGGGATACTGTTGTCACCAAACTAATTTGGTTTTAAGTTTGTTTTAATTAATTGACTGTGCTGCCTCTGTCAGGCACCAAAAAGTCAGGAGAGACACTACCTCCTCAACCTCAATAAAGGTTCAACTGTTTTTTTCTTTAAACACAGCTACTCAATTCAGACCTGATTGAGTTTCAAAACAAATAAACAGTTAATGAACTTAGGAATGAAAAGACCAATAAAACCTGACCAGCTTTATATATCCAATTTAGCTATTTTATTGTATCCACCAGCACATTTAACAGCCCAAGGGTTTTCTGGGCTTAATGCAGCTCATTTGTACCACTGGACTCCTTAGTGACTGGCTTCAGACTAGTGACTCCACAATTCTACACGTTTCAAACCATTCAGGCATAAAGCAAACCTGATTCTGTCAACATAAAACCACCATCTGCTGCAGCTGCTCTGTTGGGCCTAAGAAAAAAGACACAGTCTCCCTCATTTCGAACCAAATAGCAGCTAAGGCTCCAGTTCTAGAAAAATACAAACAACCTCCAAATATCATGTTTACAATGTGCTGTCATGGGCTCCTGGTTGAATAATTGAGTCACTAATGCAATAGGTCTCTTCTGTAATTATAGCTGGGCATCCCGTACATTATTACTAATGCTCTCCTCTGCAGTGCCGTTCTGTGTGCTGAATTCAGCGTTCACTTCTATGAAAATTCCTATTATAAAAAGTGTATTATATTCTGTGTGTCACTATTTAATTAGATTTTATACATGGGAGGTGTTGGGGGTTTTATTTTTCAGAGCTACAATACTTAGAAATCTTAATATAATTTCTCGAGAGCGTGTAATATTTTGATTGCCTTTCCCAACCACGGAAACCAGAGATAATGCAACCTTTGGGCTGGGATGGTGTTCCGTAAGATGACAAACCTGAAGGCTACAGCGAGCTTTGCGTCACATGAGTGTCGGCTGAGGTCTAGAAGAATCCTCTGACCTGCTGCTCTCGCCCCTCCTGTGCGTTCTCTCCAGTAAACACAAGCAGTCATGTGTCTCCAACTCATGTGAGGGAGATTTGAGGCCCAAGACCTTTTATACAGAAGGCTTTTATAAGGACCCAAAGAAGAGTGTCTCCGTCTGGGGGGAGTTCCATGGGCCCTGTATCGTACAGTACGAGCTGCCCATGCCTGACAAATAGTAATGCAGGCCCTTAGGTGGGAAAGCTGCAATTGTCATTCTTCTTTGTTTTTCTAGATTGAAATCAGCTCTGACTTTTTCTCGTTTGCATTTTTTTTATTAGTGTGGATCAGGAATTTGATTTACTTGGCTTTAATTACAGTAATTCTATCAACTCTGACATGAGCTGGCAATATTGAAAACATATATATTGCCTGTATTTGATTTTATGTGGCCTGGCAGCTTGTGTTTGTGGGGATTGATGATGGGCTGAAGTAATCTCAGGCCTCAAAACCATAAAATCACTTGCTGTCTCTGTGCATTGGTGAAGATAAACAACTTCAACATTTCTATTTTTGTCCGCCATTTGTCTGTGTCTTTGACTTGTGAGGGAGAAAGAATTAGTTTCCCAGAGATTTTGCTAAAATGAATAAGGATTGAATTTTAGCACCACTATTTATCTACAGCACTTTAAATGTACATGGATTTTGTTGCTCAGGGTATGGACAACCATCTCAGCTAGCCTGAGACCCTTAAGACTTTTGTTTTGGGGATTTCTTGTTCTGTTATGACACACAGTCTTGCTTAAAAGTAGAATAGGCACAGCATCAGGTTCATGGTTACTCTTACTAACAAAACCAAAAAAGCTGGAAATTAACTAGCGATAATGATGATAATGAGTTATTTTTCAGTTCTTCTTTTTGTTAGTTGAAAACTCTCAAAAATGGCCTATTAATGCTACAAATCATTAGAAGAAATAAAAAAATTATTATGTCAGGTGTGATTAAACTACGTTATTATTTTCTGATTATCTTCTGGTATCAGAGGATATTGACAGACATGAAAGAGATTAGTACTGTTAAGACAAAAGTCTTAACAGTTTTTTTATGTACATGTACAATTTTAATTAACTTCCTTTTTAAACAGTCTTGTTTTAGTCTTGATAGAGACCAGTTTCAATGATGACTTTTAGGTTATCAATATCACAGCATATCAATTCAACTTGAGTAATATGGACATAAAAAAGTAACGGTAATGTTAACTGTTCAAGAAAATACAATAAACTAAAAATTATTAGTCATTTATTTGGCCGACAAAATAAATGGGCCAGTAACATAACCCAGTATGAAAAGAGTACCTTTGAAAGGCAGACTTTCTCATCACCAAAAAGATGAGCTGATGTCCAGCCATCTGTAAAAACAGAACACGTTCAAATTCTGGAGCTATTTTAGGACAATGTCTCTTAATGTGGAATTACAGAGGCTTTGACATCGCCCGTGGTACATAATATCATCAAAAGATTCTGACAATCTAAGAACATCTTTGTGTGGAAAGGGCATGTCTGAAATCAATGTTGGATACCCTTGATCTTTGGTTAGCCTGACTTGCCTGCAGTACTTCCTCCAGATGAAATCATTCGGAATGCATTGAAACACAAAATACAAGAAAGAAGACCTAGGACCGTTGAGTGAGTAGCTGGGATCCTTACACAAAAATGAGAAAACAGCTATGTCCTAAAGACGCAAGAACTACACAACACACACAACAACAACACGGTGGTGAAACAACCTATCAAACTTTTTATTTTTATTTTGCTGCCATGAAATTCGAGGTTGATTATATTTACTTTTGTAAATTGACTTAATGCAACATTACATTTGTCCCCTACTAAAAAACAAAAATAAAGAAAGATTAAAAAAAAAATGTATTCTGAGAATTACAAAATTGGAACACATCTCTTCATTTTACATCAGAAGCCTGAATGATAATAGACATAAAATTAAGTATATTAACATGCATATATAAAGATTGTATGTTTGAGAAACAACACTTTCCGTGCTTTTAACGCCAGACGTATGAAGATCATTGTCAAAGAAAAAGCGTCCATCTAATATGTCCTTGAGCAAAACTGCTGTCCTCCCAGCTGTTCTGCAGCTGCCCTGTGCTCCGATCCACCTGCTCAGATGAGAAAATAGTTTTTTCTTTCACATTCTTTGTGAACCCCCGTTTACTTTAATCACTCAGTTTTAGCTGATTTTGGTTAACCCACTGTGATAAAAAAAGCTGACATAATTCGAATTCTGGTTGTGCTCGAGGAGATTTTCTATGCTGAATGTTTGTGTGGATACAACGTTCCAACAGGGCTTATCAAATTCATTTTTTACCCTCGGGAATCTTTGCAGACAATTTCACAGGCAAGCAGACACAACATCACTGAGGAGACATCTTGTTCCCTTTCCACCATGTCCCCTATCTTACTCATCTCTCTGCAGCTCTTGTTTTAAGTGTGGACATCTACATAAGAGCTCTTTGTGTGTGGGGTGAATGAGTGAGGTGAAGCAGGCAAAGGGGGTCCATAGAAGTATAAGTGTGATAAAATGTATAAGCTGCATGACTCATTTGAGGAGTATGTGTCATTTTGATGCAAAGAGCCACTCTGTTACACCCATACAGTATTTGTGTTCTGTAGTAAATCAGATATTTCCTGTAACAAATGGAAAACGTACATTTTCCCATGTGTGTCAGTAGAAGTGTCAAAGCCTCACGCTCACTCATGGAGGTGTTTGTGTTTGTGTGTGTGTCTTCCAGGTCAGGAGAGGTTCGGAAACATGACCCGTGTATATTACCGGGAAGCCATGGGTGCCTTCATCGTGTTCGATGTGACGCGGCCCGCCTCCTTTGAGGCCGTCACGAAATGGAAGGAGGACTTGGATTCCAAACTGACACTTGCCAATGGGAAGCATGTTGCCACTGTGCTGTTGGCCAACAAATGTGACCAAGGTCGGGATGTTCTGACCAACAATGGAATAAAGATGGAGCAGTTCTGCCAGGAAAATGGCTTCGTGGGGTGGTTTGAGACGTCCGCCAAGGTGAGGACCACAATCCACAGATCTGTAGAGAAATATACACAGATCCAGATGGGGAAAAAAACGACTTTCTGTGGGAGCTTTCTTTTTCAAGCCCCTGTGTCAACAGGCGTGTCTGATCTGTCCAAATGTCCCTGAGAGGCAGCTGACATGCTTGACCATGTCTGACCCAGCACCTGATTGTCTTGTGTAAATGCCACAACAGAGGCACATTCAAATGGGTGGCAATCCTTTAAATGTGTTCAGTTTCACAGTCACAGTCTGTTCAGCATTTGCATATAAAACAAAGCCTCAATCACAATGTGCTGCTGCTTTCCCACAGAGAATCTCGGCAGACATTCCCTCTTTATTTTCCAGGTCAGCTGCGCTTATATCAGGTGCTCTTGATGTCCAGGAATGTTGCAGGAATATATCAATCCAGTGTTTCCCCCCTCCCTTTCACAGCCTGTAAAGGCATCGTTTGACATTTAGGCTGGTTCTCCTCCATGACAGACGAATATTTTGATCAGAACTAGAGCTTCCACTCAAAAATGTGTCAGACTCTGACTCTGACTCTGCAAGTCTGCCTGTGCAAATATATTTGCTCTGCACTACAGCTGAGATAAGAATCATTCAATGGAAACTTAGATGTGGTGTATTACAAATTCAGCCAATTACAAGTTCATGAAATAGTGTGTGTAAGGGGGTACAGATATGACTACCCATGGTGCACTATACATCAACTTTTTGAATTAGCCTAGAAGTATTTAACGACTAACTAAAGCTGTAAACCACAGGAGGTAAAGATAGATTGGCGACTGATTCCACTCTGAAGATTTGCTTGCAGCTCTGTTTTGATGCACACTGCTCCTTGATATGTCCGCTAAATAAAAGCTGCAGCACATCTGGACACAGGTCACTTTCTGAATTTACAATGTGGGAGGAAGACTGGATGTGCTTCAGACATTTTTTCATATTCTTCCTTTTGTTGGATGTACTTTTTGTTCTGGAATACCATGCTATGACTGAAGCAATCTTTGATCGGAGTGCCATCCTAAATTATTTCAGACTATTAGAGTATGATACTGTTATTGCTTGTGAATTAATTTACAACCCAGAAATAATGTACCAATAATGTACCAACACAAAATTAAGGTAATACAAACACACCGTATGATCCACAGAGCAACAAGAACAAATTGAACTTTAAGCTACTGAAACCAATGCATAAATCCTGTCAAGGAACTGAATAGCAGTCATATGACATTTCTGAAATATCACGCACAGTTGAGGCTGGTATGTGAAAAATCCAGCAAGCTGCTCCACAGATTCTGTGATCACTTGGACTCGTTGCATTGGGCGTTACCTTTCGTTGGAATAGTGATGTACCATGTTTAGCAGTTTGCATGATTCTGCCTCAAATGGTGCTTGTTAAAAAGCACTTCCTAAGTAATTTGATAACACAATTACTCCAATCATTTATCTTAATCAGCCTTGGACATGATCCTCATGGAATAAAGTGAAAAAAGACTGCAGAAAACAAAAAAGGATTAAAAAAAAATCTTTCCCTCTCTTTTTGAAAATTGAGAACTCTTAAGTTCTAAATCTTTTTTCTGAGCTCATCACAAGACATGATTGAGTTATGAAATGCTGCCACCACCAAAGTTATGTGAAAGTGTGGGATATGTAAGTGTGTGTCTGTATCCTGCGTTTTCTTTCTTCTAATCCTCTGTAAGCAGGTTGTTCAGAGTATTTGTATGGAAGTTAGCGCAACATTTGGTTACGATTCTCTAAGAGTGGGAATCAGTTTGTAATTTTCTATCCGTATTTTATCTTGTGTATATATTTCCTTAATTCATTTATTGATTTTTAGAACCAAGTGACTACTTACTGCCTCAAATACATGATTAATCCCAAAATTATTCAAATAGTTCATGTATGCCAACTTTACATTTGTTATACTGTTTGAAATATATATTTAAGTTGTAACAAAAGACCAATACATTTACTATTTCTCCCAACTTACTTTAATAGACAATCAGCAGCTAATCTTATGTTATTCTATCACTCTAGCTTATTTTGAAGTGCCTCACATGGTTGTCTTCTAAATCCTATTTTTCTTTGTTCTAATATCTGAATTGTCTTTCCTGCCCTGCTTTCTTTTTAGGAGAACATCAACATCGACGAGGCCGCCAACTGCTTGGTGAAACACATTATTGCAAGTGAGAATGACATGCTCCAATCAGAAGTCCCTGACACCATCACCCCTCAGTTAGATAAGGACAAAGCGGGCTCTTGCTCGTCCTGCTTCAGATCCCAGTAACAGTAACGCCCCAAAGTTGGGCGTCCTTTTGAATCCCGTTTCACATGACGAGTTTGTGTGTGAGCAGTAGGAAGAACTATTTTGGCTGGCTGTGAGTGAGGAGGAGGGTACGGGTGCCAGCTCTCTTCCTGTCTGGCAGCTCGCAGCAGGCAGGTGGGTGACAGAGAGGCAGCTGGCTCAAGAAGCGCATAGATGGAAACGAGACAGAATGAGGAAAAGAGAGACGCGTGCAGCTGTGTGCGCCTGTCAAAGCCAAGGTCACCCTTTTGGTGACATTAAGTCTTGACTCTGCCACTTCAGTTGCCATGGTGACACAGTTAACCAGATGTACAGAGAGACTGCAGCAGATCCCTGTATAGCTGTACTAAAGGTCTATAGAAGTAATTGCTACATTCAAATGAAGGTAGTTCCCTCTCTCTCTTCCTCCTGCCATCATATAGTTCTTCCTTTTTTAAAAATAATTTTCCTCCCTCCAAAATATTTAAAATTTCTAAAAAACATTTTGGACTAATAAATGTCTGCTTTTTCTGCCAGCCATCCAAAGCAACCACGTCTTGATTATACCTAAATCTCATTACAATGCAGTTATTCTGCTGGGCTGGATCTGGTTTTATTGAAAAATAAAATCTATCACAAGTTTTATCTTATCAGTAATAATCCTATAACTTCATACATAGAAGGTAATATGGTTGAAATCAAAGAGCCTTTCCAACATTTTATCTTTATTTATTTATAAGTGCACTAAAAGGTGTCTTTTTCCATTTGAGGTATAGTTCAACTCTAATATGGCAACATATTTAAAATGATATGATAAACATGAATGTGTAAAACAACAGGAGTGTCTGTTTTAATTTGGTGGTTTTTATATAAAATTTCTGTTCCACTGTGAAATATTTGTAACATTTGTAATTTTTGGTTAAATGCACATATGTATACAGCTATGTATATATTATATAGAGTGAACTAAGAACGATGTAGAACCAAAGACGTTTCCAGTTTTCAAAATGTTCATATGAATAAAAGCTTTGATGGCTTATATGTCTGTTTTTCAATAATTAACAGCATTTTGTTATTAAGTAAACCCACATAACTGTTTCCAACAGTAGTGTATTTAATCTGATAACTAGGCACATAAAATCATGAATAAATGATGATCAAATTAAGATATAAGGTTAATTGCCTGACCCCTTTTTACTATCACAGATGCATGCCTTCTTAAAATAAACATACAATACCCACTCATGTGACAAGATAGTGGTAGATGTAGAAGTAAAATCCAATGTTTATTAGAATGTACAAAAGAAGAAATAAGACACCAAAGCACTTAAGTGAGTTAAAAATATTATGTGAGACGTAAACATATTTACATTTTTACAACATAATTTTGTTGAACCATGTCAGCCTTGTGTAACATCTATATGACTGAATTATTGGTAATTGGACAGTTCAGCTTTTGAGAACTGCCCAGACTTGAAAGGTTTTTACCTGCCAGTCACACCCTGTTTTGGAGAAACACAGTGGACTAACTTCCAATGTCTGCCTGTGCCTAGATATCTCTTTAAAGAAATCTGATGTGACAAGATACAGAGAGCAGTAGCACAGTGGTCTCTATCTCTCTATCTATCTATCTATCTATCTATCTATCTATCTATCTATCTATCT